AAAGAAAGAAAGAAAGAAAGAAAGAAAGAAAAAGAAAAGATTCTTCCTACACAATATCACAAAGTAGAATACCAAGGGACCAAGCCTAGCATAGTCTGAATCACAAGGACTGCTAATTAGGATTATGGTGCCATGATATTCAAAACCAACCTTATAAATGATTTAATACAGTAAATGTAAAAATATTGTAATCAAATGGAAAATATTCTAATCGTATGTCAAGAAAAAACGCTTAATAATAAGCTGAAAACTTCCTAAGAAAAGAAATTACAGCTTACAGCTACTTACCACGGTGTTGAATCTGTCTCCCTGATGTTTCTTAATAGAGTCAACATTCTATGGGGAAAAAATCCAGGAAAAAAAAGATTAACAATTGAGAATAAATTACTATGAATTAAAGAGTAAATTAAAACTCTCACAAATGTACCCATATGATTTGATGTGCAAACAAGTTTGGTAATTTTTGAATAGTTGGCTAACTTTTCACTAGTAACTGAATTGCTCTCAATATATTGTAAACTATGTAAAACATTCAACTCTATTACATAATACATACGTTAAGTCCTCACTTAAAATCATCTTGGTTCTTAGAAACTGTGACTTTCAAAGAACTGAAATACAGAAAAACCAGCTTCTCAGTAATGTCATTTGTTCAACATATGCTGGGAGTCTTTTCTTATCAATATTATAACACAACATTACTTGAGGACCTGCTGTATCCATCTACCATCAAAAGCCCACGTAATTGAAGTTGAGAAATAATAGAGTTTTCCAAGCAAATAAACTCTAATCACAAAACATACTTAAATTTAGTAAGTAGTCTTTCTGGTTCTGTGTGACAGTCACTGCTAATTACTTGCCCAAACCTACTCCTCTTATTCAAACCTATTATTTTATTCAGAAACTTTTTTGAGTTTTGCAGGGTAAGGGACAGATGACACAATAAAAATCAAGTACATACACTTTGAAATCTACTTTCAGTTGATCCTACAAAGAACATTTGCTTTCCGTAAAAGGGATAGAAATGAACATGATGTTTAATGTGCATCAACTATCCCATGACCATAAGTCAACAAGTCTGAGGTTATTAAAAACCAATCACTAGGGAAAGAACAGGGTGAAAACAAAACAAAATAATCAATAGTCAATAACACACAATAAAGAAAAAACAAGCTGGAGGTCTCTTACAGCACTGAAAAGCAACAGAACCAATGTAGCCTACTTCTGGATTTCATGGTAATTAAAAATACTAAGTTCTCTACTTGTAAAAATCATTGCTAGTTTCCTGCATATATAGCAACACATTCCATGGAGACAGCCTGAATAACAGCATTAATAAGAAGTATAGACACTGTAAATAAACTTTTTCTTACATGTTCAGAATATTTAAAAATTAATTCAAAATTAAAGACTTAAATGTTAATTAAGACCTGAAACCAGAAAATAGGAAGAAATAGGTGAGAGCTCTTTGACATTAGCCTTGAAGATGTCTCTGAGGATTCAAATCCAGTGTCATGGGAAACAAAAAGAATAAAAATACAACTGAAAAATGTCGACGCAGTGAAACAATCTAAATGAAAAGACAATCTACTGAATGGAAAAGATGTGCAGATCATACATCCAACAAAGGATTCATATACGAAATATATAAAGAATTCACACAATCAACAGAAAAGGAAGATCTGAATAGCTACTTCTCAAAAAAATATATACAAAAGACAACAAAAACAAAGTTCATCGCATTATCAAGAAAATCAAAACAATGAAACAACACCTCACAGCTGTGATGACAACTATTATCAAAAAGACAAGAAACAACAAATGTTAGGGACACTTGGGGGAAAAGGGACCCCTCTGGAAAACAGTATGGATATTTCTCAAAACATTAATGAAATATTATATGATCCAACTATCCCACATCTAGGTACTGGTCTTAGGATCATCAGAACACTAATTCCAAGAGACATACAAACTTCCATGTTATGCTAAATGAAATAAGTCAAACTGTCTCTCTCACATGTGGAAGATGATAAACACACGAACAAAAGAAACAAAAACACTTAAGCTGTAAGAACAAAATAATGGCTACCAGAGTGAAATACGAAAAAGGGGTCAAATATAAGGCGTATGATGGAAACTGACTTTTGGTGGTGAGCATAATGGCATAATATAAACAGGCGTTGATCTACAATGCTATATATCTGAAATCTATATACTATAATCAATAGTACATCAATAAAATTTAATATACAATAAATTTAAAAGCTACACTACAAAAATTTCAGTGATAGTAATAAATGTTTCAAAAATTTTACACCCTAAATATACTGTTTTTTGTATCCTATGGTAAAATGGCTTATGATTATTGAGTTATATATCCATCTCCACAAATTCTACATATCTAACAGGATACTCACTAGGAAAAGGGTAGGTTCCAGGTTCCTTGCCCCACCCAAGGAAAGCTGGAGCTGAGCAGGAAGGATAAGAGGTTAGACAGCAGACTAGAGAATAGAGAAGAACAATGTAGGATGGAGAGCAAGGAGATCTGGCAGAGGCACACAGAACAGAGACAGAGCAAGAAATAGGACCTGCTTCTTGCTCTTGGAAGGGACTGAAACAGATGTGAGCGAGAGACCCATGGGGAGGTTAGCAATGGGAGCTTTTTTCTTGATTTTGACTTGTCTAGCTGTTTCTAATCCCTTCTATAGGTCCCCACCAGAAGGTGCTTTAGACTTGTGGCATGTTTTCCAGCCTCAGTGGCCCTGCTTTGGGCCAATTCTGTCTGGCTGGGCATTTACCCTCACGGGGATGGATTAACTTCAGATGATTTGGAAACTTTATTCTTATCCTTTTCTGTATTGCACACTAATTATATTAAAGGTCCTTTCCATTAAAGGTCTTACACACTAGAGTATGTCTTGTCTTAATGGCAGAACCAATTTATTTTTTATTTATTTATTTTTTATTACAAAAGTTTATTTTTACATCATTTTGTACATTTTTTTCCCATCTCGATTGTAATCCCCGCGGGTTTCCCATCACCAAATCACCCGTGTGATGGCAGAACCAATTTAAATTGGGCAGGTTTGGGGGTCCTGGGGCCCCTCTTACTGACCTGTAACACATATAGTAGATGGCACAACCATCAACAATAGAAAATCCTTCAGGGCATCGCAAGCAAAAGTGGACACTGAATTCAATATACTCCCAACATATGTAATTATCTGGTAGAATGGAACTGACAGTAAGCTAAGATGAAGTTAAGAACACAAGTGCTAAACTGGAGGAAAAAGTTTGAGACTTTAGGTTGAAGTACATGAAAGATGTTCTAGAAGCATCCCAAATAGACAGTTGAACATGTGGGGAGAAATCCAGGCTAAGGATATAAATTTGAAAGTCATCTACTTGATATATTTAAAGCAGTTAAATGAACTTATCAAAGGTATCTACATGAGAGTAGATAGAAAAGAGAGAAGGTACAGTGACTGAGTCCTAAGATACTTTAACTATGATAATGAGGAGACAGAACTGCCAATGTATAGCTATGTGAAGCTCTCATTAGCATGGTAAGATAACATATAAGTAACAACAGAACAGAAACAACACTGTAAAATGATTTAAAAAAAAAAAAAAGAAAGGATAGTTGGACAAAGCAAATACACACAACTCAGGCAGTCTGGCTAAAAGGATATTAGAAAAATAAGAGAACAAAATGTGACTCCAGAGTCACAGCAGAGGATTTGTAGGCAAATGAGAATAATAAAAGAGCCCATTGACAAACTAATAAAAAGATTTAGGCAACCATTCATAGACAGTCCTTGCAAAATTTCCTGCCAATAAAAAAGCTGCTCATGAGGAAGAAAACAAAAGAAACCTTTAATGTAATGGTACAAACAGTGGAATAAAACTCACTTAGGCTATTTTTCAAAAACATAGATTATATGATTTAGGATATTAGGTATAAAACTTGTGATTCTTTATCATACATGCTGATCTAACTTTTTTCAACAATAATTAACAAATGGTTAATCTTATTTCATCCATACTCAAATCATTATATTTTTTCCTCCTTATTACTATCACTGTGACAAACTTTCAGTTTGGGAATTACAACAATTGAAAAGTTAAATTGCTGCAATGGTTTTAAAATCAGACTACACTATATTCCCCATCATCCTAAAAAGATCAAAAGATATACTCGGCTAGATTTAAGAGAAACGTTATATTGGCGTAAGCGTAATCTTCCTATGTGAGTTAGGAATTAAATGGCATTATAAAGGCCCCACAGGTGTGCCCACAGCTATTGTTAAACACTGTAAAAAGCAATTCGGAGCTTATGAATGACCTCCTTTATGAATTCCACCCTGACTTATTTTTATAGATTCCACTCGATTCACTGCTGAAGATTGCAGGTACCAAGGATTACCAACACCCAGCATGTCATCAACCTGACTTCTTAAATGAGGGGTGTCCATGGGATCTGCGGGTGGAGTTAAGTAACTAACCATCCATGGCATATTACTGAATATGTGTGCCGTGCTTCCTTGTACTTTGACTGCGACTTGCACCCTGGCACTGCTGGTAACAGAGACACATGGAAGGCGGCATATGGAGCAGAGAAGGTACAGGTATATGGAGAAATTTAGAAAAGAGACATGTGGAGAGGCTGCTCCTGGTCTTTAAGAAAGATAACAGCAGTCATCAACCTAACCTCGTGTTGGACTATGTGCTGTATTTTGAATTCTGACTCTCCTTTTACCCCACCTCTCTAAGACTAACCCAATCTCTTTTGTTTCTTTACCAAAAGCTACCTTAGACTTATTTTAAGGTCTCAGCAGACCCACTTCAGGCCAAGCCTGTTTGGCTGGGCACTTGAGGGGATGGGTAGTTTTTGGAGTTTTATTAGGAATATCCTTTCTTTTCTTTCTCTCTGCATACCAATTCTATTTCAAAATCTTTCATACTTTCCTTTGAACATGGCTGGACTACTTTTAGAATATGCACCCCTTAACAGTTTGGTTTCCCTGAGCTCCACCTCACTAACAATATTAGATGGTATTTAATTGATCATATGAGATTATTTTAATTATAGCCATCAGTATGTGCTTATCTGTAAGTGATTGATATATGTGATTAGTTCCAAGGCACTTAAAGTACATAAATAGTAAACAATGGAAATAGGAATATGGCAGACAATAATCTTATTAGGTAAAAAATTATGTAAAGAAAAAATTATAAATTGCATTATAAAATTAATATTCTGTATTGTGTCTACAATATATACAGCAATAAATGCAGAAACAGCATAATTTATGGTTATAAAATAATCGATGTCT